AATATTAACTTGAGTAAGTTTATCAAGTTAAATATTCATAAATTCTTCATTCAAAGAGAACAGCATAATACATGTTTTTGAAAAGAATTAAATCAAATATTAAATATTTATGCTAAAAATCTTTTTTTGAAACTTGGAGTTTCTTTTTTAAATCCACAAGACGCGTTTAAATTGATTCCGTTTGGAACAATAGAAATCTTAGTTTTACTGACATAATATTAATTATTTCCATTAAAAAACATTTAAATTGGTTAAACAAATTATCAGAAAATTATATTCCGTATATCCAATTTAGTATACCATATATTAAAAAAACTCACCGATGAGGTACACTGGATGACGTCGCGGCAGTTGTCGCCCTCGCCGGCCACCAGGCGGAACCACTCGCCGGCGTCCTTGTCCTTGCAGAGCTCCTTCTCGAAGGACTCCTCCTTCTTGGCCTCCTCGGTGGTGGCCTGTCGCCTGAACCGCAGCAGCGGGTCGCTGGCGCTGGCTGAAAGCGAAGCGGAAAAGGGGAAATGGCTGTAGCGAAACAGTGAAATATGTGGCGCAGTTGCAAAACCGGAAGAATTTCTATGGCGAATGTGGGTTGGTCCATGTCGCCAGTGCCTGTGCCTGGCACTTCCTGTTACAAAAACACAGATACGGCTGGACTTGCAGCCATGGCATGCGGTCGGGCTGGTTGGCTGGTTGGCTGGTTGGCTGGTGTGTTGGCCGAAAAAAAACACGTTTGGCATTATGAAATACGATGTCACCAGAGAACCAAGCGAGCGCAGAAACAGAAATAAATGTCTGTGCAAGCCAAAACAGAAAATACCCGAAACTCGTTGCGCCTGCGCTATAACTTTGACATTTTGCATCTCGCGACTTGGCAACAGTCGCCAAGTGCCAAGTCGGATTTTCAGATCCGAGTCCGATGTCTGAGACTTGGTGTCTGATGTCTGAAGTCTGATGTCGAGGGAGTTAACGCATTTGCATAACCGATAATTGACAGGCGGCAATAAGGCAGTGTTTATGCTGCGACTTTAATCGTGATCGATGGCCTGTCAAAGTCAAGTCGCGGCGAATCAATTCCGATCGGATTCGGATTCGGATTCAGCTTCGGATCGAGTGGAGCTCAGAGAAGTGCATTGGAGGTGCTCAAATGTCAACCTGATTCGCAGGCTGCACTCGCCGCACTCAAGGCAGCGTCGTTTAGGTACTTCTCCCTTTGGAAAATGAAAGTTGTTTTCTCAACTAGTTGCAGCTGGCTCGTCCTTTTTGCATAATCAAGGTTACCGCATTCACATCTCGAAAACGGCTTTTCAATTTCGTTTTGATTTTCCTCTTTGCTCTTCGTTTTTCGCTTTTCAGCCTGTTAATTGTTTTGCGCTTCTGAAGGCCGAACCAGTCGAGCAGTTTTAATTGATGTCTTGACAACTTCCGCCAGCCTGCCAGCCAGCCAGCCAGCCAAATGCAAATTGCAGTTCGATAATTAAAACTTATGACTACGGAGCGGAGGCATAAAGTATGTATTTCAGTGGAGACCTTACCTTCGTTTAAGGCCGCCAGAGCCAAAACGGCAAAAACCACAAACAGTTTTGCCATCTTAAGTTCGACTTGGGATTCGATCGATTTATGTCCGTTGCTGCACAGTTTTTCAGATTTGGTTTGGTCTTTCGGGTAACACACTTATAGAAACACACTTGTTCGGAGTCTGACGGCGGAGAGCAAGTTTTGTCCTTCCGATCGCTATCAAAGCTCCATTTACACTGTTCGCTTCGATGCCGCGCACAATTTCTCGAACCCCTCTCTGACACCAAAGCCCCAGACGAAGTCAAATTTGCTTCTTTTATTACACGGCGGCGGCGACGGCGATGTCTCTTTGGAGCATCTGTGGTGGGTTTCGGAAAGCTTTCCAGCACCTGGAGCAGCCCGAATGCGATCCACAAAAGCTCCCACCGATCGCTGATCACTGATCACTGGTCGACTGGCAAGCCCGGCTTTTCGGCTCTTTGGCTTGATGACTTTCAGGCTTTCTGGCTTGTTGGCTTCTTGTGTGTTGTGTGTTGCACAAGTGTGGCCCGATCGTGACCGGATCGTGGCTGAAAAGAAGAGAGAAGTGCGGCACGTACGCGATCACTCTTTTATATGCAAAATGGTGGCGGCTTTCGACTCGCACTGCGAGGTGAGAAGTGGAGCCGCCTTTGTGGATTGCAAGTGAGCGGGGCTTGGAGCGCCTCCTCCCCCATTTTTGCAAGCCACCATGCAAATGGCACTATTGGCCATAATTGCAGACCGACCATTTTGGCGCTGGCAGATTCCAGAACGTCTCAGGGGGCTCTCGACTGCCCTCCAACTCCGGGGACCAGCCCCGGCACCTTGTTGGCGGTCTGCTGGATGTGTGTCAGGCCAAACAAACACTCCGGCTGGGCGTGCCCACAGAGTCACAAAAAATGCATTTTGAATAATCCTACACACGGGCATTTGCATATTTATGAGGTTCTTTTTCATTTGGAGGTCTCGCTGGCTTCGGGTATTTTGCTTACTAGGAAACTGGTGTGCCACAGTGCGTATGATTGATGAGACATTACTCTTACGTAAAACAGTACAACACAACGTAGAGTATGAAGCCGATTTCTTGATTAACCCGAAATATTTTCCTCCCAGCTAAACACGTGAAAACATGGACCATATTTGGGAACAGTATTCTATATATTTAAATCTATTTATTTATTTATTATTAAAGTTATTTAAAATGTACAGTTTAAAAAAAATAAAAAAAATATAAAAAATAGTTTATTTTCAGGTATCAAATTGAATACAATTAAAAATATTAAGCTGAAATATTTTCCAACAATTTTAACTATAATTTATTTGCTTAGAGTCTTAAGACTTCGGCGTGCGGAAAAAAACCTAAAAGAAAGATACATCTTTCGAATTTTATTTTGTTTTAATGGCTAAGTAGTCTGGTCGTTCCAATTTAAAAGCTGTTATTTTTTTTACCCGCGACGACCTTGATCATTTTAAAGCCAAATTAAAGCCATTTATGGCCCACAGAGTGATACGTCGTGGCCCGACGACTGCTAACTGACAGAGAGGCGTCTAAAGGCGTGACGAACTGCCACCAAGTTGAGCGTTTTTTCTGCCTTTTTGTCCGCTGACTGGTGGCTTCAACTCCAAAGTGTGCCAAAGTGTTTTGCCGTTCGACGAGAGACCTTTCTGAATTGTCATTGTCTATTTTTGCCACTCTTGACATTTGCATAGAGGAGTAAGGCTGACTGCTGACTGCTGACAGCCAACTGCGACCGCTTCTGGCCTGGCCTGCCTCTCGGCTTGAATTTCCAATTAAGATTAAGTAAAATAAGTCTTTGGCTTGGACTGTTTCCGCTTCAGCGAATACGCACAACATCTGCCTGATGAAATTTACGTCAATTGGAGAACCAGTTTACCATTTCATTAAAATGTGATCATCTCGTTTCAGCGAATTCTTGCAAAATATTCAATGAAATTCATGCTTAAAACCGCAAACTTACCCATTCGGTAAATTAATAAAATTCCAATTACTTGGAAGCCAATCCATTCCTTTTTATAGAAATCCCAAGACAAATGGAAATCTTTTGGTTGATAAATGTTTGGACTGTTTTACTTTTACTATAACCCTAAATGATAAATATTACATTTTCAACTGAGTTAGTTTTTTTGCATACCACTTTGGACTTGCCAACATAAATTTGAACAAATACTGTGTGCAATGGTGCTCAATAAAATGTAAAAAAAACTATTTGTTAAAGAACATGCTTCACTATAATACGTTTTCAACGGGGTGACTTATAGAATGTGTGTTTATTCCCAGTAAAAATATTCCCTAAAAGTTAAAGTCGAGTCGTTTTGTTAATCCACAGCTGCTTTTGAATTGTTCCATTAGACGGTTAATGATTTAAGGCGCCTGAATATATCAAGTATTAAATAAATATGTATTCATCCGATACCTACTGTTTCGACATATATAAAACCTAAAGTATAAAACCAGTAGTTGAAAAAGTTATATTTAGCATTACAAATTAAATGCTGGAATAGAAACAAAATCTTAGATTTGTCTTAATGATGCTGATTAAGAAATATATATTTTATCTTGTCCTTTACTGCGTTTTAAGCTCCTGAATAAAACTAAACTACCCTATCCTCAAAATATATTTCCAACTAAAGGACAATTTCGGATGTCGGTGCGTGACATGTCGAACGGGACACATTTTCATCGGATGTCGAACGGGACACAACTTCATCGTTTTGAAGTTTTATCAACTGCTCAGTACTTTTGTAAAACCTTGGAAAAAATAATTTAGTCAGAAGGATACACCGACCTTATAACGTAAATATATTCTTGATCAGCATCATCCAAGTTGATTTAGAAAGGTTCGCCAGTCCGTCTGTCTGTTTTTATGCGAACGAGTCTCTCAGTTTTAAAGCTATCTCGCTGCAACCATTTCGTAGTTGTGTCTTGACTTTGGCATAGAAACAGTCGGAAAAATAAAAGAAAATTATTAAAAAAAATCATCTTAACTTGGACTTTGTCAAACAATCGTCTGTTTTGTTTCTATAGGAACAACTACATCATATTGTTGCCATAGAAAAATGAGAATAGTCATGGAGCATTCGACATGAATAAGTACTATACTCGTATGTACAATACCCAACCTACCAATACCCAAGTCTTACTGTAAGGGGATGTAAACTTTGGTTCACCAAAGCTTGTTTCCTTTCTTTTTATACCCTTTCAGAGCAAAGGGTATTATAATTATGCTTTTATGTATTTGGTTGGACATATTTGATGACTGCAAGGATAGATAACATTTGGCTTGCCGAAGCTGGCTTCCTTTCTTGATTTAAGTTTTTTTAGTTTTTACTTAACCGTCTTTTTGATATTAAAAAAAAAAAAAATTAGGAATCTGATCCGTTCGTAATTTTGTTGTGATGTATCCCAATCCGAAACCAAGTATTTGTATACATAAAAATAAAGATTTTAGTTCTTTCATCAGTTTATTGATTTTTAGTTTTTGGTTGTTCATACAAAGCTTTCCTTGTACACATAAATAAATGTTTCTAATTTAGTCTTAACTAAGGGTATTGTGTTAACAACACAGGTCGACTAAAACCTGGAATTTTTCCACTTAAAGAAATAAGTTCTAAAAAAATAGTTTTCTTAGACTACCAAGGTTTTTGTCGACCCGTGTAATTTCATACTTTTAGTTGGTGTGACTTTCAGATTTGTACGTAAACTCGTTTGGATGCATTTGTTCTCATGGAAGATCTTGATCAAATCCATGTTGATATACCCGGCAAAAATAGCTACCCTAATTACTATTTCTATTGTTCTCTGGTTATAATTCCGCCCTATATCACACACTTAATATCTCTCGTAAAAGCAATTTTGCGGTTTTGTGGTTTCGCGAACCACAACATGGTGGAGCAATTTCACAGACTGGCTTTCGATTTTCACTTTCACATAATTAATCACAAACATTTTCAACTTATAATGCTCTTTTATCCTAATAAAATGTTGAATTAGAACAATAAGGAAAAACGATCTGGAGTCAAGTTTTGTATTTTTGCAAATCATGTTCAAAATAAATATGCAAAAGTGGAAATCTGAACTCGGCTGATGTGTGTAACCAGAGCATATGCTATCGGAATTTCTCAAAGGTACGTTCGTTATCGTATATCTTATCTCGATTCAAGTGCTTTGGCAAAGAAACAAACTAATACAAAAAGCTAACAACATGTACGACTACACACATAAAGCTGACAAAACACAACAAAATAAAGACCTGCGACTAGGCGTGGTGCATCCAGTTACTTCATAATACTAGAAAGGCTGGTGTAGCCGCTGTTGCCCTGCACCGGCTCCTGTTCACGTCGACAGCATCCGCAGCAGCAAATGGTTTTCACTACGTCCACGAAGCTTGTCTGGTCAAAGTCATCCAGATCGGTCATAAAGACCCCGGAACTAATGTCCTCCGCGGTGCGAGTGCCAACAAATGCCTTGAGATCGGTGGTGGGAAAGCCATCCTTGTAGTAAGCCTTAATAGTATCGTAGGCATCCATGATGACGGCGATAAACAGAGACAGGACCACGTAAATGTACAGAGATATGAACGAGTACAAGTAAATCTGGCAGAACCACCACAGCCAGTTGGCCTTGCTCGAGAGCGTGGCAAAGGTGGCGAACATATCGTCGCCGTTGATCAGCGCGAACAAACACTCGGACGTGGTGGCCAGCGATCGAAACTTCATGTGGTAGGGACCCAAAATTAGCCATCCGCAAAAGACGAAACCGGCATATATCAACAAGGCGGCGATAAGGAAGCGCAGGATCTTTGGTGCCGCTTTCTTCAGTGTCAGTATAACAACGTTATAGGTTTTAAAGAAGCCGAGATATCGCAGCACCCCGAACCATACGAGCAGGTTGCCGATGCCCAAAAAGAGCGAGCAGGTGTCCCATTGGTCCACCACCAAGTACCTTCCTTCGATTTGCTCTTTCAGAGCTGATCCTATGATCAACAGGACGTCGTTAAAGATGATCATGATGTACCTGCAAAAAATATATTTAAGGATTATCTTTGGGGATTGATGTCATACACTTACCAAAAGTTAACAAACTCCAGTCGCCCGTCGAAGCTCAGCTCCTTGCCGAAATGCGACCGGAAAAAGTTCACAGTTGTACATCTCAGCAGGTACGCCCTCCACAATGCCCTCGTGCAGAGAGCGAACGATAATGCGCAAGTTAGTAGGACAAATATATTGAGTACGCTTCGCAGCATGGAATCGAAGTTCGCCTCCGATATAAAGTCCGTGGCTCCGTGACACTTGAGTCGCGTCGCCTCCGCATCCAGCGAGAGCAGCATCTGGCCGTCATGGTCTCGATTGTTGAACATTATGGAAATGTCGAACCGAAAGCAATCGGGTGCAGACAGCGGACCCCCGTTAGCCTTAAAATTCACCGTCTTAATCTTGAACGTTAACTGTGCGGAGACGAGTGATGCGAAATTGACCTCCACATCGCGCTGTTTGAGATAATTCTCCACCCCAATAGTGGTCACGTTCGGCGGAAGGCTCTCGCACACCTCGTCGATGTGGGGATCGAAAATGTAGGACTCGTTGAATCCGAAAATGGTGCCCTCCCGGTAATTCTGAAGGCACAGCTTAAGCGGCGGCATTGTGTTGTTGGGCGTGGGATAGTCATAAGGCCCAATCGATCGGCTAACATTGGCGTAGCCATCGACGGCATATTGCACAGTGTCGAAGAACTCCGATTTTAGGTATAGAGCAAAAGGCCCCACGGCAGGCGGGTAACTCTCCACCTCCCGGGAGGAGTCCCAGTTACGCAAGAACAAGTGTGAGAAGGCAAATCGGTTATCACCCGTGTAGTTGATGTGGTTATACCGCGAGTGGGCAAAAAGGCACAGTTGCATCGTCACCAGAAAGATCTTGACAATCTAAAATGGTTAATAAAGAAAATGAGTAACTGGTTAAGTTGTACTTGTGTAACTGACACTTATTGTAGTTCAGTTAGTATAGTGCAAATAGAGTTCTTATCTACTTTTGTTCTCAACCCACAGACCCTTCTGTAGAAGACAGTTCACTGATCTAGAAAGCTTATCTATAAATAAATACCAAATTATGCTAGGGTATGCGTCAGACTACATATATTTATTGGGTATCTGCAGCGAAATCTGTTTTCATTTACGAGCAATCATGTCTAGTAGTCGAAATTGATAAACTTATTTTCGATGCCCAACCACTCTAGCCTTAATCATTTAAAAAAAAAACCCCTAGAATCAAACATTTATCAAATTGCCAAGAAATTTAAAAACTTCGACGAGGGCGCCCACACGCAGTATTTCCCATAAAATGGGTGAAATTTTTAGGTTTATTACGTATTGTTCTAACTATAGTTTGTCCCCTTAGATAAGGCATCGATAAGAATGGAGGAGCTTAACAATGCAAGCAAAATAATCATAAGTGAGTTGACTACACCTCATTTTACATGTTCAAAACCCAAGCAAACAATAAAGCTCGGCGAAGGCTGTTCAAATACGTCTGTAAATTAAGCAGCCTGGGTAAGTGGCTCGGATGTGTCACCCAGTTCCGCCCCCAAGCCCCGCGGATCACACGACATCAATTAAATGGCTTTTTTATACAGATGCGAATCGAAAGCGAAACCCGGATGTGAACCTACCTGCACGACGAACTTGTAGGGAAACTTGCGCTTGGCCTGCCACTTCTCAATGGGGTTCATGAAGTAGAACTGCAGCTTCCGGCGCATTCGCTCTTCCTGGAAAGATGCGGCCGAAGATCCGGGATAGTCGGGCTGCTCCTCATGCCCCTCCACAGAGGGCACAGCACTGGCACCGGAGGTGGGCACTGGAATGGTCATCGGAACGACGGGGGCCACTGGAGTGGACTGCAGCTGCACCTGGCGACGCAGAATCCGGGTGTTCACGTACTCCTCGTCGCTCTCCGGCGACTGCTGGTGTTGCTGGGCAGCCTCGTAGCTGTCCGTACGGCGTTTCACGGCCGGAGCTGCCGGGGCTCCAGGGCCGTAGCTCTGCATCTCGATCTGCTCCTCCTTCGTCGCGAGGTCAAGTCGCCTGCGTTGTTGTTCTCCGTGCTAACTTTCTTTTGCCCGCCCACTCGACATGCAAAAGAAGAATCGGCACAGGCGCAACAAGCGATCGGGGGAGGGAAGGTAAATATGTGTTTTTGGCAATTAAGGCGCGACCCTGGCCAACGGAATTTAATTAAATACTGTCCGAAAAACAAAGAAATTGCTTTGTTTTTCACTTAGCGCTGAACGACTGTCGATATATATTCGCTCTATCGATACTCTTCAAAATACGTTATCGATAGTTGCAGAAGATTTGAATTTAAAAACAAGTAACAGTGCACAGTTAAAGACAGTAGTTTTTAAAAAGTTATATTTTTAAACAGAAGATTACACAGCAAAATAAAGTGTGGCCACAATATGCAACATTCTGTGATCATTAAATATTGTGAAATTACTTGATTAGCAAAACACTCATAGTGGAATAACACTAGGCTTTGTAAAGAGCGGCGACTCAAACCAAGCCAGTGTCTTAACCCAAGCGGTTAACCGCTCAATTTGAATTATACCGATAGAACCGCCAAGAAGGGATATGTTAAAACAATTATAAATAAATTATTACCCCATTTTATATTCAAGATCCAGAAAACATAAATTTTCTATACCACAATATAAATTGCAAGTACTGTCTAAAATTTCCTATCAAATAACAAAACCTCTAACGGGCTCCCTTTATTTAAAAATGGAATTTACCGAAAAATTCGAAATAAAACTTGAAGGTTTTGATTGCTGACAACAAACTGTCATTATTCAAAATTCTTATAGTCAAACTCCAAATTTAACAAAATCCTGGCAAACAAATTTTTAATAGTTTCTTGTTTGTATTTATATATGGCAAATTTAACAAATTTTCTTTTAAAAATATACATACATACATACAGCTAAAACACCACGGATCGGGCGACTTTATCGCTCCTCTCTGCTCACAATTCTCGTTTATAATGAATTAATTAAAATTATTATTTTAGTTGTAGACTTAAATATTACGTACAATCACACTCACTTAACTACGTACTAGCAAAACACATTGATACATTACATTTTTCCACTCTCTTTTTGTTTTCAAATATATAAATTAACTAGTTTCTGTTTTAAGCATAATTTGTTTGCTGCAGCGCATCTTGTATAGAAAGCAAAAGTGTTCGATTACATTTACATAAAATATTTGTTTTTGATTCTTTATCGTCGTATAAATATGTGTGTGTGTGGTTGTGTGTGTGTGTGTATGTGTTACATTTACAAACGTACATTTAGATGTGTGGGTGTGTGTATTTTATATAAAACAATAACTAGTCTGAAGACCTTGTGACTAGACGGTTTTTTCGGCTTCTCTAATATGTATGTATGTAGAGTTATCAAATATATACTATGTATGATTTTCGCTTCAGCTTCTGTTCGCTGTTCCACTTCGGGATCGCAGGACTTGGCTTGGAATCGAATAAAATAGTTTGGAATTCCATAGGACAATTGAAGTCCTGCAATGCCAGAGTGATCAACTGTTTCGGAACAGGCTGGTCACACGTTTATAGGTGGATGACTTCCAACACAGACACACAAATCGTTCGATCAATACAAGCTACAATACATAAAACAAAGAAATAAGCCAGAAGACGATCGTTTCCTGCTCGACACGGTTCCTGAGTAACTTTTCCACCTCCTTCCTCATCTCCATTCCAGCTCATCCTGGTCATCCTGCTCCTCCTCGCTTAGTTTCTACTCTGCCTCCTCGACATCCCTACACTATACTCTCGCGATCCCGGGCCGCTGCCGAGGCCGCCATGTCCGTGAATCCGGTTCGTGCTCCGTGCACTCCGCTGGGCAGGATTCCCACTCGCCTAGCCTCACCGCTGCGCACCCCGTTGCCCTTGAAGATGTTGGACATCCAGTTGGTCAGCTTGCTCCCGCCGGGAGTTTTGGCCCTGTGCTGATTGGAGGAGCCGCTCAGAAAGTCCAGGTCTCCGGGCTGGCGGTTATCGATGTCGGCGGCGTAGCTCACGCTGTTCCCGCCGTGGCCGCCGGGTCCGTCCATGTGCTCCAGCGAGTGCCAGCGCTTGGTGTGTCCCGGCATCTCCTCCGGCGGCACGGAGAGCGAGGCCTGCCGCTGCAGCAGCGGCGACTCCAGATCATCCTCGATGCTCACCCCGCCGTTGCAGTTGTTGTTCAGATGCTTGGCACAGTTGCTACCCCCTCCGCCTCCTCCTCCTCCTGCGGGAACAATGCTGATCTGGGCGTTGGGAAAACTGCCCGAATAGCGGAGGGCGGGCAGCTGACCGTTGTCGTGCCGCATCAGCAGGCCCAGCTCGTCGTCGTAGCCATCGGTGGCGTCTACCGGATTGGCGGACATCTCGTCATCCAGGTGCAGCTGACTCGACTCCGCCTCCCCGTTGGGATTGCCACTGATCAGCGACACACCCGTGTCCAGCGATCGCGAGTTGTTCTTGGACAGCTTGGAGGGCGGCAGCTTGACCCTCTCGTGTCGTTTGCGCAGTTGCTGCATGGGCATGGGGTCCAGGGAGCGGGACTCGCGCAGCAGCGTCTCCGCGGAGTCGTCCTCGATGTCGCCCAGTTGGGGCAACTGGGCGGCACTGATGATCCTGTGCGGGCGCACCATGGCCAGCGGCTTGTGCAGCGCATTGGGCTGGCGCACCAGGCCGGACCCCGATCCCGATGCCGACACTCCTCCCGATCCCCCATCCATATCACAGTTCGTTTCGTTTGTTTCGGAATGATTCAGCGTGCTGAGCGAGGCCTGAGCGGACTCGAGGAGAGCTCCGCCCATGAGGTGCCCTGCGCCCAGTCCATTGATGGAGGGTCGCTCGCGATCCCTGTCCCGCTTGCTGACCATGCGCGGCGAGTCCCTCACGGACCCCTGCAGACTGTACGTGGACTCGCCGTCCATCGGCCGGGGAACGGTGCTCTGGCGCCTCGATCCGGTGCCGCAGAAGTGCATGGCCTGGATGCTCGGCTGGCGGGAGTCGGGATTGAGTTTGGGGCTCTTGCGCGGGCGACTGAACAGCGGCGGCGGCATGTCCATCATGTCCACCAGCTTCTTCTGTATCGCGTTCTCGTTCGCCCCGGTGAGCCACCAGGTGACCACCTCGCCCTTGCCCTTCATGTTGACCAGGCCACGCTTCTCGGTGATGTAGCCCCCGCCCAGTTTGTCCAGCGCCAGCTTGCACTTGTTGGAAATGTGGATCTTGAGCGCCTCGCCGTTGCTCTCCATTCGCGACGCTGTGTTGACGGTGTCCCCGAAGAGGCAGTACCTCGGCATCGTGAGCCCGACCACGCCCGCCACCACCGGACCCGTGTGCATCCCGATGCGCAGCTTCAGCGTCTCGTTCGGACGGTGGGCAATGCGGTGCTGCTTCACCGCTTGGAGCAGCTCCAGGGCCATCGAAGCTATCTCCCCCGCGTGTCGATCCCCATTCTTGATGGGCAGACCCGAGACCTAAAGAGAAATGAAAGGGTTGATTAATTTTAAACTGGAATAAGCTAACTTGGCTTAATTTAAATAACAAATCCAAAGGAAGAAACACCAAATCCACTTTAGTTCCCCTTTTTTAATAACCAATTCTTTGTGTTGTTAACGCATTTAAAAAGTTATAAATAGTAACGATGGCAACTTGAAAGCCAAATCGTCTTGTTATCTGCATCGATTGCGCTTTTTTGTAATTTATGATCAATTTAAAATCTTGAATATAATAATAAATCTTAGAGATAAAGATTTTTATTTTAAATTACTGATTATTGCTTCATCTATTTTTATTTTACTTGAATAGCTCTAGAAAATGTAAAAAAAATGTTTGTACAATCCGACGTATGTTATTTCACAAAGAAACAAGTATTTTATGCAGCTGATTTTGAGATTCGAGCTGTGGAAAAGAGGACTTACCACCATGTAGGCATCTCCTATTGTTTCCACCTTGTACACATCATAGCCGCGTATGATGCGATCGAACACTGTGTAGAGATCATTCAAAAAGTTCACCACTTGCAGCGGTGTGCTCTCCGCAGACATTGCAGTAAAACCAACAATGTCGCTAAAATAGATGGTGACCTGGAAGAGGAGTTGAGTAAAAATCAGTATCAAATTCTTTAAGTTAACACTTCACCTAATATGCTAAACTTTTTTTTTTTTATTTATTTATATTGTAGTTAGAATAGCTTATAAAACTAAAACTAACTAATGAAAGTTGCAGTACTAGCTGCTGAGGCCATCGACTGTCTGTACTTATATTTTACAATTACAATTACATTTACATTATTATTTACATCGTTATTTTACATTTTACAATTTTTTTTTTAGTTGTTATATGATGTTATATAGTTTGGTAATTTTAAGGAATTCAATTATTATTTTTATGTTTTCTTGTAATGGGTTGCTGGTAGTATGTTGAATATGCTAAACTTAATTTTTGGTATGATATGCTGAGCAGAATTCTACATTAAAATTTCTTGGTCAATAACCTAAAATAAGATTTTTCGAGAGCCTTATATTATATATATTTAATGTGGTGAATTAAATTTAATTTGGAATAGGAGACCTCTGAAACCTTTAATTAATATTGTTACTCTTAAAGTGTAAGCTGAACCATTGTGGTTTTGAACATCTACAAAATGTTTATCAATTATATGCCAAATGTTTCAACGTTATACTAAAACTTTGAATAGGACTTACCAAGTCATAGGATACCGGCTCGACGCCCTGACCCATGGTCAATTTCTCGGCCACCGACTGCGGCAGCATGCGATGCAGCAGGTCCTCCGTCTTCATCTTTTCCTCGCAGAGGAGACGAGTGCGCTCGGTGACAATGTCCTCCAAGTTGTTGGCATATTTCTCCATCATTTCCATCATTTGGTCCATGATGTTTTTGGTTTTGCCGCCTCGCATCTTTTTCAAGCGGTTGCTATTATAAAACCAAAACTATAATCATAACCTCTTGATCGAACTTCAAAAGCCATTACCGTATGACACTGAATTCGGGCCGCTCCTCGGGATCTTCGGCCCAGCAGTCCCTGATGCAGGCCAGCACGTAGTCCGGACAGGACTCGGCCTCTATGATGGACTCCACTTCCGGCCGAAACGGATCCTCGCCCTTGACCGGTAGCTTCTTGACATAGTCCACGATTTCCTTTGGTTCAAAGTTGATTTGTCCGAACGGACCCTTACGACTAAATATCTCGTACATGATGATGGCAAAGGCGTACACATCGCCCTTCTGGCTGCCGTGGATGTGATTTCGCAGCAGCTCGGGGGCACGCCACAGTTGATCTGAGAAACAATTCAGATTGGTTATATTCGAATAAGGGAAGAGCTCTATGCGAAACCTCACTTCTATAGTGCTGATGCTCCCCGATGGACTCGTTTTCGGCGCACTGACGCAATTCGTGCAGCCCGAAGTCAGTTACTTGGAGCATCCAGCGCGAGGTGACCACACAATTCGAGGACTTGAGGTTGCCGTGGTAGACCAGTTGAGAGTTGTGTATGTAGATCATGCCCTGCAAACGAGTCAAGCAAAATAGAATAAGTAAGTCAGTTGTTTAGAGTATATTATAAATTACAGTTTATGGTAAATAATTATAGGGGGAGAGTGTAACACAAGATGTCAGAGCTGGTTATTATCTTGAGGCAAAAAGCTTTACAAAAATGTTATACAGTCGAATTTAAAGAAAGAATGAAAGGTTTAAAGATGCAATACGCCACTCTTTATGCATATTCACCACATCTTATTTAAATGTGGAAAATTACTTGAGGTAACTTAATTATTATTAGGTGGCTCTACAACCCGATTCGGTTTTTGGACGACCTCAGCGTCTCCCTCAAGGCGCAGATAGAATTGTATTAAGTAAGTTGCGGGTATTGCAAACTATTTACCTTTATAAGGTCATGAATGAGTGAGGCAATGAATAGGTCATCCAGCTTGATGTCCTCGTTCTCGATGATGTCGTAGAGACTGCCTTTGGCACAGTAATCGGTGACTAGAAGGATGCGCGTGGGCTCCACGCTGGCGCCAATGAAGCTGTTGATGTTGTCGTGTCTCAGTTCGCGCAGCAAGCGCATCTCCTTCATGATCTCCCTGGAAATGTCGCGCTTGCGGGGGAACTTCAGCTCCTTGATTCGGACCACAGCCCCACGCAGGCGACCTGTGGAGGTCACGAACTGGTTGGTCCAGCGGGAACCGTAGCTCTGCGCACTCATCAAACTGACCTGCGAATCGATTGCGTCAATCTATGAATTCACAGAACAAACTTAGGCACTCACTTTACTGGGAGAGGACACGATCTCGTTGCCGGAATAACCCTTAATGTCGTTGGGGTCTATCTTCCAGAGCAAGCCCTCGATCTCCAGTTCTATTTTCCACTTGCGATATATGCTCATGGTGATCACTCCGGAGCAGAAGAGCAGCACGCCCAGAACCACGGCGGCAACCGTGGACGTGTAGTGGGTGTCATCCTTTTTGCACAGTTCGTTGGCAAACCCGCACATCGGCTCATCCGTGGGCTTCTCGCCGCCCGACGGCCAATCTATGGAACCATTGATCAGCTTGTACTCCTGTCGTACACAATGAACAGAATTTGATGAGTTGGGACGAACGATTTGGGGAAAGGCAAGACAAGCGGCAACCAATTGATAGAAAGGCAAACTAAAAAAGAGAAGACGACTCACTCACTGGAAGTTCTTCGCCTTGGTGAAAGTACGCCACGGGAACCATGTGGTAGTTGCAGGGCATGTTGTTCGAGTTGTTCCACTTGTGGGGCTTGTAGGCCAGCACCGAGAAGTTGCCTTCCGAGTCGCCATACTGATCGATCTTGATCTTGGATCCAGTGATGCCTTCACGGATGAAAAACAAAAGAGTTAGTCATGTCCTTTCAACTTTAATCACTCAATAGATAACTCACTCATATAAGTACGGTTTTTGATTATGGTATCGATGACCCGAGTCCCGTTGCTGGCCACTTCGAAGATCACCTCATCGGTCAGCACTCGCGTCTCCTGGCGCAGCATTTTGTCCACAGCCCAGGCATAAAGTTTCACCGAATCGTACAGGTAGGCGGCATAGATCGATATGAACTAAAAGGAGAGTAGTAACATACTAATAAATTAATGATTCTTTCCTTCAAAACATTAGTTTACCTTGCTAAAATTACTTTCAACAAAGAGCTTTGGAATCGACAAGTTGAATGGCGGCCTCGAGCTGTACTTCTGCACTTGTTCGGTGAACTGAATGTAGTCCTTTGTAGGAGGCGTTGAGGCCACGACGAGCAGACTGCGGGCCAGCTGGTTGAAGTTCTCGGTGCTGTGGCAATTCGACATGAGAGCTATTTGATCCACCCTGCGCAAATACTTTTCTGCCTCCCTGCAAATCAAATGCACAACCATTATTTGAAACTATCAGGAATTTCTCTGAATTAATTACCGCTCTGAATAGACCATCATGTCCACAAAGATCACCATATACTCGCCACGAGCAAACAGTCCAGCGGTCTCCATGGAGCTCATGAAGTCCACCAGACTGTTGGCCGCCCCCAGAAACACGTAGATTCGGGTGCGGTTCATCGTGTTCTGCACAAGCTGATAGGGAAAACGATTAACAGAAATTAATTACACGTAACTTAACTTTGAAGCACATTTGTTTAAATAACGTTGAAAATGCAAACATAAGTCGAAATGATTCGATTCTATTTTATAAGTTTCGAAATGTAATCTCTCTAAGAAAGGAAAATTTCTTAAACAAACTTGAGTCTATTATCTAAATTTTATTCGACAATAGGAACATTTTCTCTTCATTTAACTATTATTTATCTTAGCTCAAAAATATATTTTTTTATTTTCTGAAATTATTTTGTAATTCAAAACTATACCGCTGATGAAAACTCACCTGGTACCAATAGCCAGAGCGACAGCAGTCCAGCATCAGTTCGCAGCATTTGGCCCGATTATCGATAAAGGATTGCTTGTGGTTGATGGTCATGTTTCGCTTGGTGGCCTGATCCTTGAGCAGATCTGCCACCGGACCCCACACGTCCTCGTACAGGATGGAGAACTTGTTCCACGCATAATATCGCAGGAGGGCAAGCAGCGACTTAACGACCTGAAAAATAGCGAAGGGTGCCATGTGAGCTGTGCATCAGGAAAAATGTCAAAGGATTACGAAGAATGTGCGGAGCGGGTGCACATATTATTGGCTTTTGTTTTAGTTTAATTCACAGCCTAGGAGCAAATAACAGCCGTGACTGGTAACCACTAACTAACTAACTAATTTAACTAGATAATAATGATAGCTTCGAACTTCAAAATGTTTAATTTAGTGTACTTAAACCCAAAAAATAGATTTATAAAATAATCCTCCTCTTAGGAATATTACCCTGTTCAAATTAGTTTTAAGCACCAGCATTTTAAAATTACATTAATATTTTGTGGATAACAAGAAAAGTTACTTTTCTCTTTACCGCAATTGTAAACGATTGAGTTTTCCTTTTGCTTGCGGCAATTCGCATACTTCTTTTGTCTTTTCTATTCTATTCGGTCGTTTGTTGTCCCGGCTTAAGGATAATCCAAGGCTAAACAGCAGTCCCTGTCGAGTCACAAAGCCACCGCAGGGTGAGCCGGCCACCCACCCACCACCCACAGCCACCCACCTGTTGCCCACTGTTTACTCACCTGCGTGTCTGGCGGTTCCGTCCGGGCGAACGTCGGTATGGCGGATGCACGGTACTCTGCGCATTTCTGTCGAATGGGAAGAAGAATCAGCAAATGTAGTTTAGTTGCATGAAAAATGCGATGCACGCGGTACATGGTCATAAATCAGGCACTCGAAATACTCGTACGTACATAGGAAATCATTGGAATGTTTCGACTCTGCGACACGATGGCCTCCACGTAGCAAGGTCCTTCCGGTCCGAAAATGGTTGCAATGCCATCGCATATCATCTCGGTTATGGCTTTGGTGGCCAGTACCGTGTCCCCCTTGGTGTCATTCCAGCGCAGCTCCAGCGTCACATTTGGCAGCAGATTGGGATCTTTGTTGACCTGCGACCGGGAATTGGAGGGAGAAATTGTGAATTGGGTACGGCTTTAATGAGTCTCAGATCTACCAGATAAAGGTAGGGCTTCTTTTGAATTACAATTGAAAACCAATCACAACAGGGATTTAAGTTATAGTTTTAGTTGTGGTTGTAGCAGTTCAAATGCTTTAAAATCATTTCTAACTCTGGGTGAGGCAATTAAAAGAGGCAGATTACTGACACTTTATAACAAAAATGGCTTTGAATAGTTTACTCAATTTTAAGAAGCAAATCTGCGATTGATGCATTTATTCCCAAAAGGGCTGACTTTTGTACTGATGTGTATATGGGTTTTAAATAGTACAGTATTTGATTAATTCCCTGCGGTTATGTGGCTACCGCATTGAAAAGTCTTATGCATCGCCCGGCTTTCATTTGTATCTAAATACGGAAACCACTTACCTCATCCAGGGCCATAGTCAGGGCACCGGAAATGGCCAGTCCCTGGCGCGTCTTGAGCTCGCCAGTGAGCGCCGTCAGGTAGCCGACGGTGAGGACGGTGGGGTGATTGCTACAGTCGCGTACCGCCACCGACAGCAAGAGTAGAAGATTAAAGGGCCAACGCGTCATGGCCCCTTAGGCCGGGGCCGTTCAGCGCGACGCCTATGGGTCCCAACAGATTCTCACACTGCAATGAAAGAAGCGAAAAAGAGGTTGAGGATCAGAGCAGGGACCAAATACCAAATACCAGGGGCCATGGGCAGAGACCAGAGAGCCAGGCTAAGTGAGGATGCAATTGAAACTGCCAAGGACACCCTTTGCATAATAAAAATGCATGTTTGACAAAGGCAAACACAAATAGAGAGCAGCATTCTGAACGCATTTCAGACACTTGGCTTGATTCGGACGAAAGAACTCGGAGGCAATACACAGAAAATAAATAATTTCAATACGTCACACTTCGCACATTCATATTTACATATTCCGTTTTAAAATTGAATAGTTATTGATAGGGTAAACATTTATGGGAAATGCACTGTGGTTGGACCCAAAAGAAGGTGACAGAAAAGTATGCTACAGTTTGTAAAACTTCACCCAGAAAAAAACCTTTAAAAACCACATCAATTACAATGAAAATTGAAAAACGACACAAACAGCTGTGTAAATTTTTTCCTGTTTATCAATAAGCTGGCGCTTCTGGAATCCGGCAGGGATCCGGAAGGAATTGACTTCGGATGTCCACCAGAAACAGGATGCCGAGCAAGTGCCCATGCAAGCAAATGTCAAATGTTGAAATGTTGAAATGGCAAGCTTCAACAGCACCGACCACTCGGCAGCCAAACGGATGCAGGATGCAGGAATTTTTTAATTAGTCCCTTTAGTTGCTCGGAGTAGCAAATCACCGATAAGTAGCTTACCGGAGAGGCCTTTTTCATCCGGGAATGCCATTTATCCCCATGGTGCTCCGTGTGCACAGCTTGTTATTATTAATTATGCATGCGTTGATTTTGCCATTATGCAATTTCGTTTGAGGCATTAAATATATATCGCTGGCTATTTTGCTTCTAGCATTTGTTTGTTATTACCCCCGCCAACGCAAACAAACCCCCCAGACCCAGACCCAGACCCAGACCCAGACCCATTCCCACTCCCAAACCCAATCTCCTGGCATTGTCCTGATTGTTTGCACTAAAGTGAAAGCTTATTCCATGAGATTGGATTACGGAACCGGTGGGTTGGATAATGGCGTCGCTCATCCTCGGCTGCTGTTTTTTTCACGGGCTCACGTGTAAGTTTAATTAAGGCAAGAAATGCGAACAAATATTTATCGCAATAAAAAAGGAATTTTAATAAAGCCTTTTATTCAATTAATTTTAAATATGTATGTCCCTCACTCCTGTGGCAAATATTTCAGAAAACAGAAACATTTAAGAAAATGTTAACGTAACTGTAGTTCGTCGATATTTAATGTTTGGTTAATTTGAATAGCATTCTAATAATAACATTGCATTAATTGAACTAAGTCACCTTTTCAACATCACATAATAATCTGATTATAACTAGTTAAAACAGCGCTCATCTTCAGTTAAGTAATATTTCAATAACATTAACAAGATTAATAGTTTTATTTAATCCACATAACTCGAAGAATATTTAGATACATTATATCCAAAAAGGAAAATTATTATCATTTCAGAACTCTGTAGAATATTCGACCCAGAAACCCATGAGAATCTATGAAGGATACTTCAGCAACGGCTGCTCTTTGTTGTTAAGCTTTAGCTGGTAATCTTTCAAGCACCCAAATCTCTATCAACAAGAATCGCGAATAGCTCACGGCGCCATAAATTAGCATTTCCGACACACTTCACATACCATATATGTTTCGTGAAGCTGTTTATATTTTGCCAATGTTGCAATTTAAAATTAGAACTACTCGGGCTAGCTAATTTTGGGCGCCACTGTTAAATATTTGCGCACCATTTTGACACAATGCGAAACGCGTTTCCACGAAAGCGAAAATAATGGAATTTATATGTAGTATGTAGCTAGTTGGTGCGGCTAAAGTGAAAACTTTTTCTCAGAACTTCCCTTATCAAATCAACGTGTGTTTTCACGATACGCCAGCTTTAACAGCCAAAATAATTTATTTCGTTATATTAAATTTAAATGGATTTTTATGCATTAAAATCTGTAAATGGTAGGACTATTTCAATCTGAAATTTGCACGGGGTAGCAGCAATCTTTTCAGATCGTGTCACATGCGTACCCCAGTGAATGATCAGATCTAGGTCGGGTATCAAATCCTACATCATGTTCGTTACTTGTCAGTTGTTGGTCTAGAAATTTGTTGTTTCCTCGATTCGAAAGTTTTTACCTTTACCCGTCGAACACTCCTCCGGCAAAGAAACTCAAAATTCGATGTTTTCTTGAAAACGAGACCACGTCCTTAGTCCTTAGAGCGTACTGGAGAGGAGTCGCCGCCGTGGCAGCTGCTGCACCGAAAACCAGAGTCCGATTCCAATACGAATCCGAATCCGAGTCCAAGAGCCTTTGCCTTTGGGTGTCGAGATCTCACCTCGACCCAGCACTTCCGTCTTGAAGCCGAGGGTTCGTCGCACTCGGGAACTATGTGACAGCGACACTCCGAGGACAGCGCCAGGGTCGGGATTACCACTGGGCCTCCGGAGCAGTGGGAGCCGGGATCCCAGCCAGAGAAGACGACGCAGCAGGACTCAGGAGCCGAGAAGCGACGGAGGAGGATCCCGGGACGGGAACAGGAGACCCGGCGGCGCTATGGCCATTCACGAGCAGATCGACAACCTGAACATCTGGTGGTTTCCGCGCGACTTCTGCCAGTCGCGCTTCGGCGAGTTCCAGCAGAGCGGCACCAACTCCTGTACCCTCATTTCACTGATCCTGGCCGACAAGGTGGCCAAGGCGGAGAGGTTCTACCACAGGGTCTCCGACCTGCCGATGCGCGGATGGGAGCTCTTCGGGAACGCCATTAACGATGGCAACAACGTGTACCACAACGTGATCACGACCAACGCGCCGCAGGCGAGGAACCTCAACCTGAACATTCCGGACGCGATTGCGGCCATTCGCTCGCAGTCCAAGATGAACTTCCGGCTGGAGGAGTGGTTCTACACGCACATGGAGGCCGACCCCAGCCATCCGATGTACAACCGCAACGTGGCCGTGCAGCTGTCGCGGATCTTCCAGATCACGCTGCACGTGCTCCAGCAGGCGAACCTGCGGGAGAACATGCCCTCGCAGCTCTTCGCCGCGATCATCGCGGACAGCCGGACGGTGATGGTGACCTTCGACTTCCGGGCCTCGATCGTCGCCCTCTTCGACTCGCACCAGCACGGACGGGACGCGGGTGCGGTCTTCGCCCAGTGCACGCTCCAGAACATGGACGACCTGCTCTTCTGGTTCATCAGCATGCTGCACAACGTCTACTCCAGCCGGCCGTCGCTCTTCGAGATCTCCTTCCTCAGCTCGCAGCCGGGCGTGGCCAAGCGCATTCCGCCGGCCATCAAGAAAATCGCCGGGGATCTGAAGAAGCCGCTCAAGTTGAACATTCCCCGGCCCTCGCACTGATCGCACTGATCAATAGCGGCAGGGAAAACCCGTCCAGTACAGCATCTTCCTTCGGGCGACAGGTCTTGGCGCGGAACCAACACTTAAGACTGGATGCACCAATTTAACGGCTCATCTCCAATCAAAATCTCAAGTTTGTGTGGTTAGCACGTTCAAAAACGGAATCCTAAATTCTCAGTAGACCTTCAACTAATAAATAACGAACACCATTTGGCCATGACTTTTCAATGGAGAGTTTTGAATGCAACGGGTAGAATGAAGTTTTACATGTAGGATATTCCAGCAAAATATTTTATTTTGGAGAGTTTTGAATGCAACGGGTAGAATTAAGTTTTACATGTAGGATATTCCAGCAAAATATTTTATTTTGGAGAGTTTTGAATGCAACGGTTAGAATTAAGTTTTACATGTAGGATATTCCAGCAAAATATTTTATTTTCGGGGTTCAAATTCAAACAAATATATGAGAATAAATATATCTGTTTTTTTTCTTTGACGTACATACGCGCTTGTAAATATTTTTAATTTATAAAATACGTATGTATATTTTTATGATGTTATGTATGTACATACAAAGAGTATGTATGTACCTGCATCGATGCATGTGTTCATTACGCATACGCTCCAATCTAAAAACCAACTTTTTAGCTAACCCCTTGGGCACAGCAAAAACGCTTCTGCGATTCACTTGAGAAACTTTTAATTTAATAAGAGCCGACCATTCCTTCTGAACTAATTTCCAGAACTTCCACTACGCAGTTTGTACTTTAAACTCCAACTTTTGCGCAGCTGGTGGGGTGGGCTACCAAACACTAATTTCTAATGTAGTTCGAACTAAATTATGACATTAAATATTATTTAATTGTGAGCACGTATTTACCTTTCCTCGTGTGCGGAAGAGTGCGGTCGTGTTGATATTTGTTTATTTTATTATTTCTGTTACCTAATTACACTTGAGTAAACAATTAATTTAAAAGTCTCGAACATCTGCGTGGGGGATTTTTTCGTTGTTGTTGCGTTTAGGCTTTTTGGCCTCTCTGCTAACCGAAAATTGAATGGCTTTAAAAATTAAACCAAAAGAGCTAGAACTAAAGTTGAACTTTGTAACGGGAGTCGGGTATGTAGTGCGCGTGCGGCTCTGCTGTGTTTTTCTCGACTTCTAATCAAAATGAGTTAAATAAACACATAACGTAACCTATTAAGAACTTAGTACGTGACAACAATTTAAATATTTATAAAGTAAACAGAGAGTCCGAGAGAGCGGCGGAGAGGAAGAGTCTAAAAATAGAATCACATATCAAAGAAAATATGAGAAAACAAATCGAATACCGAGGCGCAAGACGTGATAAAACGTTTAACGTTAAATGTGAAAAACAGCCAGAGAAGTCAAAACAGAGAAAAGGGGAAATGAGAGAATCGTGGAGAGAAAGAGCAATGCAGCTGAGTTGTAATCAACAAACAAACAGCTACAAGTTGTGTTATATATAAAGAAATATCGCGTAGCCGCAACGTGGGTCGTACTTTACATGCTGCTCTCTCTCTCCTCTCTGTCTCTCGCTCACCCTCTCTTCATCTCTCTATCTCTCTTTCCCGCAGTGCAACAAGTTGCAGTGGCATTTTTGGGGACGGGGACCCGCCTTTATTGCGCTTTTCAGACAAAGTTGTTTGCTGCTGCACGTGTGTGCACACACACTTACGTACAAATTGTCTGGTTGTCTAAAAATAAAACCTGCATACTAAAAATAGAAACCAGACGCAAACACGACAATCCATTGGCCAGTGGATAAACCAACACGACATTACATATTTCGACAAACAAACACCACCGAGGGGCTTCCCCGGGGGGTAGCACCGATTTTCGAAAAATAGGAAGTCGGGGGATTCCAGAGGGGACAAAGATATAAAAACAAATACTACGCACCGCCACAACGTGCGTGCCTAAATCGCCGACAATTGTCATCGACATCCACCTCATTGACTCACTGGCGGGATTATATGTGGTAATATATCACACGTCATATCATTAAATGAACCAACCATACCATTCCATATCACCATATCACCAATCCACTCCCATTCTCAGTATCAGTTCAAATTCAAGCTTCAAGTCTGGCTCAGCGGTTGTGTTCTTTCGTATTTATGTGCGAAAGCTGGTCTCCCAATTTTATGTTTTCGTAGAAATGCGATTTAAATAGAACGGAGTTTCGCTTTGCGCTGGGGTAGGTTTTTCGAATAAAACCTTGAGTAAAATATCCATCATTGTTTAACAACAGATTAGGAAATTTAAGGTCATCTACAGCACTGAGATAGCTTCTATCTATCAACAACCCATTCTTATCAGAGCAGTGTTTATACATTTTCGTGTAACTTTTGCAAGAGGAAGTTAAACCATTCTTAAAAATGTAGCGAAAAGAAACTTTATCCCTTATTAAAAGAGACCATATTGTTGGAAAAAAGGAGAAGAATAGTTTCATTTCGTTGAATCTCCATGGGAGTGAAAGCCAATACGAATGCATTTATGCAGGAAGAGGATTTGGCACTTGTGAATGTTGTAGATTTAAGCAAAGAAGCAGAAATATCTCGTACAAAAGGGGAAACATTTAAGATTACGTTTTTCAATAATATTCAATCCCCTACGAGATTCTGTTTATTTTCGATTTGCGAGTATTTGCCATTTGTCTCGGTGGCAATCAGTTCAAGGACATTCACCCACACACAGAGGGCACCCCATTTAAATCCTCTTGCTGCTATCAATCATCAACAAGTTAACCCCACAAAAGGGCACCCCCTTTAGCAACCCTTCGCACAAAAGCTCGCACACAGTAAAACATTATCTCGCCGCACACAACACACCCACACGTGGAGAGCCTCGGAAAAGGGTTCAAAGGACTCGATAAATGGGGCTGCTGGCCCACCATTAGTTAGATTATTGGGCCCAAATGTGCAATTTGATTTCATCGTCCTTTGAGACGCTTTCAGTGGCAAAGAGAGTGTGTGAGGGAATTTTCTAATTAGAAGTGGGGAAAGCGGACTCCGGTGATGGGAATTGAAGGAGAAGCCTTTAAACTTTATGCCTCAATGAGCGAGTGAAAGTGGAGTGGGGCGGAACTGGACACAATCCTGTCAAGCGGATATGACAAATGAATGGCCGTCTTGGCCTGGTCATAGGTGCTCCAGAGCCGCAAGGACACTCCGTGCAGCAGAACATGGGAGTGGCATTTCAGGAAGGAGCGATGGAAAACGACAGCTGCTGTCAGGCGAGCTGATTTTGTTGCCTTTGGCCAAGAAGAGTAGAAAGCAGGATGCGGGGAGAGGACGTGCGTAAAATGAGTAAAACAGAAAAATCCACCCGATACAAGAAATCAGAATTAGGGTAATTGCTGATTCACATATTATTAAACACTTTGTTTTCTTTTGTAATTAAAAATGTGTAGAGACAATATTGGCAAGTACATTTTTAAATGTTTTTGTTTCATTGTAATAAATGATTTTCTTTTGTGAAGAAATGTGAAGCCTTTCAGAATGTACCATCATTGATTTGGGCTTAATACATTTACTGGAACGCTTTTGGCCCTTCTAACGCCATTTGTAATCAAATTACAACACAAACGAACTGTTCAACTGTTGCAAACGAGTCTCCTTTTCCCAAACTTATTCCCTGTCTCTTTCTTCGGAGGAACTACAATCCGTGATTCGAATTGAAATCAGGCATCAATTCCGAACTCAACCAGCATACAATTTGTTAAACGAAAGTGAAACAGAACTTCTCAGCAACAACGGATTCATGAAAAAAAAAAAAACAAACAAAAAACCAAACTGGAAAAATGAAGCCTGAGACATCGGCATTGCCAAATTCCCCAACCTCGTATTTCCCACAAAAAATATTCATAAAATTATTTGTTAGCATTGTTCGGACTTTTGTCATCGATTTTTACGGATTCGTATGATAAAAAATGTACTGACAAAAATAAAAGAATTTTGTTGATTTTAAGGCATTCACAATTTTTCTTAGTTTTCATCTCGCCCGTTTACTCAGAAGTTTTAAAAACCAATGAATCATAATTTTGTAATATCAAAATTACCTGTCAGTAGATTTCACTTCTTAATTGAAGTTTTAAGGAAAATGTAAACGCTTTCAAGTGGAATTAGTCACCTGAGTTACTTTCTTAATTGTCATAAATTATAAAGTTAACCAACATGCATTGCACAATTGAAAATGATTCCCAAACTGGGAATGCGTTTCCATTTATGATGATTTTCGCCACACTCAGGAATTGTTAATGCTTGGATGGGCGGGATGAGGACCAGAATATGGTGTCAGCATTGTCAGCACATGTGTTACAAACTGAAATTTCACTTTCAAAGAGGCCAAAAGCGGTGCTGATGATGATGAGGCTGGGTTACGGTCAGGGGGAGCAGCAGTACGCCGCATGCCGTTGCATGCCATGGCCTTAGCTGCAGCTTCAACTTATGCTCCTGCCCCCGAATGCCCCCCACAACTCCTCGCATTGTGAGGCGCCGTTTGCTCGCCGAAAAAGGAGACACAACCCATGACGGCAGCTTTGGCATTTAACAAGCAAGGCACAGCCCAAACAAAGCCAGAAAGAGAAAGATACAAGTGCACTGAAAACAACTATTGATTAGTCAGTCATTGCTGTCACTTTCAAGTTTTTTTAAACCTCGATCAGAAAGATTTACTTTTAAATTTTTTAAAATGTTTAGATGGACTCCTTGCTAAGAATACAAGAGAAGTATAGTTACTATTACTTTTTTTTCTTGGCTTATAAGACAATATTTCGGATAAGTATTAAACCCATTCCCACAATCTCATAATAACTAGCAAATCGAAAACTGACAGTTTAATTTCACATTGTGTTTTTTTCGGATTAATTATTTACAATTTAGTTTAATTGTTCAGACTTTAAGATACAGCGAATATTTTTGTAGAAAAATGAGTTTTTCCTTCGAATCGTTATGAAGTTTTCCAGTGTAAAAAGAAGGACCCAAGCTAAAAAGAGGAGGGGAAACGAGTGGTCCTAACCATTTTTGGGAAGCGGTTAACTGCGGCCGCAGTTTTGGGTCGTGTGAAAGTGAAGGGCTCGCAGTGACTTTTGAGGTCGCTGCCGAAACTCAACTTTGAGGTCGTTGCCAAAAACTTGGCCGAGCCCAGCCGCCATCAAGCAGCCGGGAAACATTTATGAGCGGTGTA